CTGAGGATCTATCACATGCCAATAGCCTGGGAAAGGAGATGAGGAAAGTGCCCAGGACGTCCCGGAGAGGAATCTGCAAGTGAACCTGGGCTGCCCGGGGCTCCGAGGCTGCAACCGCGTGGGTCTGGCCGTGCCCTTCCCGGGCCGGTCTGGGCGCACGTGGGGCGGCCTGCTGCGCTGCTCCTCGGCTGCGCGCGCCGCCTGCGCCTCTCGGTGCCCCGCCCGGCTGGACTCCCGCCCCTAGCCCGACCCACACGTGGGTTTCCGCACGTCCGCCCGGCTCCCACCCTGACGTCAGCCCGAGGTTCCATTTAAGGCCCCTCCCGCTTCGGGCTCGGTGTGCTGGAGCCGCTGTCGCTGAGTCCGGACCCCGCTGCCCTCTGCCGCGCGCCCCGACGCCGCCCATCGTCCACTCCCGGTACGGCCAGGCGCGGTGTGCGAACACGGATGGGGAGGTCCGCGGCCCGCACAGGGGTCCCTGTCCGGGGTGCAGGCGCAGAGCCCCCAGGCCTGGGCGGTGTAGGGCACGCGTGGCCTCGCCGCGTGCGCTCGGCGCCGCGTCCACTTCCTCTAGCCGTGCTGGGGTTCCGGGCGGAGGGGCTCCACCCAACCTGGGTCGGGAAGTCGGGTGTCTAGGGAAGGACCCGGGGATGACTGGCTGCAGGCGGGGGTGGGGAGGGGACAGCCGTGCAGAACGAGGTCCGGGGCGGATTCTCCCTGCGGTTTGTAGTTTCCCACGGGTGGACCCCGCGGTGGTGCTTCCTGCAGATTACTGGGCGCGCTTGCCCTAAGTGCAGTTTGCTAAGATTCTCGGGTATTAGGGGTTGTGCTAATAAGCTCGGTGAGTGCAAAGACGAAGCGGGCAAAGTCGCAGCCCTCGGGCACACCAGGCGCTAGGTCCCGGTGAGTGGGTGCCCCGACCTTGAAGCCGGGAAGAGGTTTTGGTGGGGCTGGTTTTCTGCAGGGAGAACTCTCTTCCCTCGGGCAGCCGTACAGAACTGTGTAGAAATAGCGATGCGTAAGGAGACCCAGTTCCAGCTTGGTGACCCCGGGCTTCCTGCCCAGAGGTCCTTGCCGGGTATTTTTGCATTTTGGACCCATGTCAAAAACAGACATGGTGCTTTGGGGATGCAACTTGGGATGTGCCCAGCGAGTGCGGTGCGGGTTGATGGGCACGGTGGAAGTCTCCTGGGGGTGCCACCGGTGTCCGGTAACTTTGAGGCACCACGCCTCAGGCCCTCTGGCTGAACTGATGAAATTTCCTTATGCCCGACCTCCGTCTTTGCAACAGGGACTGGGTTGCAGCCGCACCAGTCCCCTCCCTCGAGATTGGTTAAAATGCCTCGGTTCCTGTTACTGGATTTTAAAATCTGACTCTGGCCACTGGCCAGGCCATGGAGGCTTGCCAGCCCGGCCCCACGTTGCTCCCTTGTGCTTCCAGGCACTAGAAAGGAGGACTGACCCCCCCTCCTCCAGACTGACCCCTCCGACTGCCCCTGCGCTCCAGCGGGCGGTGTAAGCCATCCACCGTGTGCCTTCCAGTTTCTCAATGGCCAGTGGCCACTAGACTTTAACACCCCCCTCCCCACCCCGCCTTGCTTTGGAATGCGCATGCGCACCGACTTCCTGAGCCAGCTTCCGGATCTGGAGGTGGGGGGTGGGAGAGTAAGTGGAGTAAGCGTGAGCATGCGCACGTCTGAGCACGTTGCTTTGGGGTCCACCTTGCATTCGTTAGTGGGTTGCTCTGCGCTTAGGTTGGTCCTTGCCTGAGGAGTTAGCACCGAAACTTACTATGGGATTCTGAACTCGGTGATATTGTCTGGGTAGACGCCATCGCTTTCTGGGGTTACTAAACGAGATGGGCGAACCCTCAGGAGGCTGCACTTACACGGAAACATCATTGTTACTTTTCCATTTCAAGGTGAGGGCCTTCACGCTAAGAACCAGACCAGACCCTGGCATTGCCTTGCCCCTTGGTTTTTCTTTTCTACCCTTTTAGTCAAAGCAGTCAAAACGAAATAAAATCAGCTTTTTTTAAGACTAGGTTTTGGTAAGTAAGCATAGAAAAGAATGCAATGACACCAACTGTCTCCCGCTTAGGTCCCTTTTGGTTCCAAGTCCAGGATGGCAAGCCTCAAGGATCAGCTGATTGTGAACCTTCTTAAGGAAGAACAGACCCCCCAGAACAAGATTACAGTGGTTGGGGTTGGTGCTGTTGGCATGGCCTGTGCCATCAGTATCTTGATGAAGGTAAGTCAGAATCACCGTTCCCTGAAGCCCAGTGTCCCCAAGTACATCGTTACACTGCATATAAAAAATAGCTTCCTGCCCTCATTCACAAACTGTATGTGAAACATTTTGAAACACCTTGACAAGCCGTAAGAGTCATTAAAATAAAAGAATCGAAGGTTATCAGTTGGAGGCCTGTTTCTTAAAGTCTCTGCACTGGCCGGATGTGGTGAATGGGAGTGCTTGGGAGGCAGAGACATGTGGATCTCTGAGTTTGAGGCCAGCCTGCTCTACATAGTGAGTTCCAGGTCAGCTGGGGCTACAGGGAGACCCTGTCTCCAAAAGACAGATAGACAGACATAAATAAATAGTAAAATTCTCTGCACAGCATCAACCTGCCCTACAATGAAAGAAAAGTTTTCCTTTAGTTTTCTTTTTTTTCCAGTCATAGGAATTGAACCTTGGGCCTCCTTGCTAAGCAATCACTTTACCACTGATCTAAAGGAATTTTTGAATTAAAATTATATGTACATATGCTAAACTTTACAGTCATACTGAATGGGGGCTGGAAAGATGGCCCAACAGTTAAGAGCACTTGATGCTCTTACAGAGGACCCAAGTTTTGTTCCCAGCATCCATGTGGCAGCAGACACCTGTTGTGGCACATGCATGCCCATACATACATAATACAATAAATAACCTTTAAAAAAAATTTGTTATACAAGGTCGTGAACAATGGGGTTTGGATAGAAAGCTTATGGTAACCCTTGCGTTATGATTTCTTAAAAAGATTTATTCGTGGGGCTGGAGAGAACACTGGTTGTTCTTGCAGAAGACCCAGGTTCGAATCCCAGGACCCACAAGGCAGCTAACAACTGTCCGTAACTCCAGTTCCAGGGGATCCTACAGCCTCTTCTGTCCTCCGCGGGCATTGCACAACACGGGTGCACTTACCTACATGCAGGAAATATATGTACAAGTATATGCAGTGAGTCCAGTGCCTTTGGAGGACAGAGAGGTCAGTGGACAACTTTTGAGGATCATTTCTCCTTTCACTCCGGGTTTTAGGAGTAGAACTAAGCTTATGTTGCACAGTAAGTGCATTTACCCCTGAGCCAAACACCTTGCTGGCTCCAATTTTCTTATCTATTATAGAGCTAAAGTCTAATTAGGCAACTAGTGAATCTTCCCCCCATTTTTGCTATATGCCTGGCATTCATTACACAGTGTAGGCAGGCTGATAGAACAGTCCCCATGCCTCCTGTGTACTGGAATTAGAGGCGTGTACTACCACACCTAGCTTTAAAAGTACTTTTTTGAAAGTACTAAAACCTAGTTTATATCAAAAATAATGGAGGAAATGCTTAAAAAAATTTAAAGACAAATTCTCACGTAGCTCAGAATGGTCTTGAACTCTTGATCTTGCTTTTACTGCCCAAGTACTAGGGTTATAGGCATGCACCACCTCCACACCTGGCCCTTCAAAGACAGCTTCATGTAACCATGCTTGCCTCAAACTCAAGGTGTAGCCAAGGATGATGTTGACTCCTGGTCCTCCTGCCTTGCCTTCCAAATGTGGGATTTCAGGCATGTGGCACATACCTAGAAATTCTATTTATTTTCCGTTTACTAGTTCTCACTGCAGCCCCAGCTGAGTGCTGGGAGCACAGGTGTCTGCCAACCACACCTGGCTCAGGTAGTGTTCAGTCCTAAAATATTTCAAGTTTTAGTTAACCTTTGTGATAACATGGACATATCATATCCTTTAAACTCACAGGTTCTACTGAAAGGGTGATTTCCACCAGTATTACACAATACACAGTATTGGTTCACATACAGAAAACAGTGAAGAAAAATTGCATGTTCTGCTGGAAACTCTCAAAGTAGCAGTTTCCTGTTTCACTAAATATTTTGTGTTCTAGGACTTGGCAGATGAGCTTGCGCTTGTTGATGTCATGGAGGACAAACTGAAGGGCGAGATGATGGATCTGCAGCATGGCAGCCTTTTCCTTAAAACACCAAAAATTGTCTCCGGCAAAGGTCGGTTTCAGCAAGCTTCTCCTGTGTTCTGTGCTACGCTTAAGCCCCTCATCAGACTTGAAATACTGACTCTGTACACAGGATCACAGAGGCTTGGGAATTTTGTGTCAGTGCTTAATGAGTATCTTTGTTGTTTTGAGATGGTCTTCCTGTAGCCCCAGTTGGCCTGGAACTCACTATGTAGACCAGGCTGGCCTCCACCTCACAGAGATCCGCCTGCCTCTGCTTCCTGAGTGCTGAGTCTAAAGGTGTGCACCACCACACCTGGCTGAGTGTCAGAGTTTTGATTTCTGTAAATGATTTTAAGTGTAACTCTAAGTTGTCCACATGTAGAATTAAAATGTAACTCTCTAAACGGTAGGTCCATATTTTAGCTACATTGGATTTGTTTCTTCCTTAATTTTTAGGAATCAGATCTTTGCTGTTATTTTATTTATTTATTTTTGAGACAGGGTAGCTCCAGCTGGTCTGGAACTTTTTCTTTTTTTTTTTTTTAAATATATTATTATTTTTATTTTATGTGTATGGGTACATTGTCTGCATGTATGTGAGTGCACCTGTGTCGTGCAATGCCATGGAGGTCAGAAGAGGGCTTCGGATTCCCCTGGAACTGGAGTTAAGGACGGTTTTTGTAGCCGCCATGTGGGTGCTGGGAATCGAATCCAGGTCCTCTGCAAGAGCAGTCAGTGCTTTTAACCGCTGAGCCATCTCTCCAGCCCCAGTCTGGAACTTTTTAACTGTGTGTGTGTGTGCGCGCACGCACATGTACATGCAGGTGCCCAGGAGGTGTTAGGTCTCCCTGGAGCTGGAGTTATAGGCAGTTGTGAGCTGCCTATGTGGGTGCTGTGAGCTGAACTCAGGTCCTGCAAAAGCTCTTAATCTCTGAGCCATCTCTCCATCCCCTCAACCACATTTCAAATGTGTGCGTGTTACCAGGATCAGGTGCAAGGCCCATCCAGTGTGAGGCGAGTGCTGTACCTGCTTGGTGAGACACCACAGCTTTGCTTCAAATGTTTGTATGCCCTCCTTTGACTACTAACACAGGGTTGAGAATGTTAACTTAGAAGCCTGTTCAGCAGATACCTCTCGGCTTGACCTTTTTACAGTTAGCTAGTACCAGGAGACCAGGTTGAAAGTCTTTGACCTCTTGCCTGATAGCTATCTGGGTCAGCTGCCCTGTGCCACAGAGGATCTTGAAGAGAGAAAATAGAGGGAAGAGGGAGGAAGAAAATCCTGCTGGTCTCTTGGCAACAATTAGGTAACTAAGTAAGAAAGTGTAGGAAGAAGGACCACTGGGTAGGAAGTAGTGATCACATGGACTGGATTCCTTCTGGTCGTTATCTAGTTACATATTCCCCACATTTATAAACCAAAGGAGCTGTCTGCGAGGCAGTACGGGATTTATCTGCCACGCACATACAGCCTGTGTAAAATTGTCTGCACAAGGAGCTGATGGAACAAAGTGTTGCTGACTAAATAAGCGTTTCCTTAAAAGGGCTTAATTTCTGGCCATTCTTTTTTTCTCTAGACTACAGTGTAACTGCCAATTCCAAGCTGGTCATCATCACAGCTGGGGCGCGGCAGCAGGAGGGGGAGAGTCGTCTCAATTTGGTCCAGCGTAATGTGAACATCTTCAAGTTCATCATCCCTAATGTTGTGAAGTACAGTCCAAACTGCAAATTGCTCGTCGTTTCAAATCCAGGTAAGCCTTTAAAATGGCATAAACACACAGCCTGTAGCAAACCTAATGATATGTGTTACATTGTGTGCACATAAAGTAGTTCATCTTAAAGTATTAGGTGCCTCTGAATGTAGTTGCAGCTTAAAATTAGTTGTGATCTGTATAGGGGTAGATTTATAAGTAATTTTTTTTCTTTTTTTTTTTGTCTTTTTGAGACAGGGCCTCCCTGTAGCCCCAGCTGGCCTGGAACTTGCTCTGTAGACCAGGCTGGCCTTAAACTCACAGAGATCCACCTGCCTCTACCTCCCAAGCACTGGGATTAAAGGTGTGCGCCACCACACCTGGCTGTAAGTAATTTTTTTATTTGGTGTGCAGTTTATTTTCACAAAAAGAATACTTCTTGAATAAATGGGCTTGATATAGCACAGAGATTTAAAAATATTTACCAAAATACTGATTGTCATGAACAGTATCAGTCCCTGTAGAATCACGGGTCTCTAGCAGCCTTTGAGTCACCTGTCTCTAAATGTTTTCTTTATAGTGGATATCTTGACCTATGTGGCTTGGAAGATAAGTGGCTTTCCCAAAAACAGAGTTATTGGAAGTGGTTGCAATCTGGATTCAGCCCGGTTCCGTTACCTGATGGGAGAAAGGCTGGGTGTTCACCCACTGAGCTGTCACGGATGGGTCCTTGGGGAGCATGGAGACTCGAGTGGTAAGTATGTAACATAACTGAATTCTCTTCGTTTTACAGAATATAAAAAAAATCTCCAGGCATTTCATTATTGATTTAAATAAAGCCTAAATCAAATATGTGCCGATAATGGCTGAATAGTTTCCTGGCATCTCTCATTTGTATGATTATATGCTAAGAATTAAGATTTTTAGCCATATTGTATTGTCATATAATTTATGGCAAGGAAGATGAATTTTGTTTACTTCCATTGAAGTAAATAAATAACTGTGGACATGCTAACTGGGTTTTTTTGAGACAGGTCTCCCTATAGCCTAGGCTGTCCTGTAACTCATAACAATCCAACTTTAACCTCTTCTTAAGTATTGCAATTTCAGACATGAACCACTATGCCCAACTTACTCATTTGATGCTGAAGATTGAACCCAGGCCTCCTATACCATGTACAAATTGTACCACTACTGAGTTGTACCCCTAATGCCTGGACGCATTAAAACCATCATTCTCAGATAGTTTCAGTTACTTAGCTATTTAATTTTTATGTATTTTTGAGACAGGGTCTCCCTGTAGCCCCAGCTGGCCTGGAACTCACTATGTAGACCAGGCTGGCCTCAGTCTCACAGAGATCCACCTCCTAAATGCTGGGATCAAAGGCATGTGCTACCACGCCCAGCCCACAAATAATTTTTTTAAAGTGGGTCGCCACCCCTATCTGAGGGGATTGGATAGACAGCGGTGTGCTGTGCCTGAAGCAAGTGTGGCTGTACTGTTTCTTCCAGTGCCTGTGTGGAGTGGCGTGAACGTTGCTGGCATCACCCTGAAGAATCTGAACCCAGACCTGGGCACCGATGCAGATAAGGAACAGTGGAAGGATGTTCACAAACAGGTGGTTGACAGGTGAGATTTAACAATGAAGATTTAAAATGCATTTATCTGAAGGATGAAGATTTTAAAAATATTTTTATTATTTTTATTTTATGTGTATAAATGTATTGCTTGCATGCGAGTGCACCTGTGTCATGCAGTGCCCGAGGAGGTCAGACGAGGATGTCAGAGTCCCCTGGAACTGGAGTTAAGGATAGTTGTTAGCCGCCATGTGGGTGCTGGGATTTGAACCTGGGTCCTATGCAAGAGCAGTCAGTGCTCTTAACTGCTGAGCCACCGACAGTGGTCGGGAGTGTGAGATGATGCCAGCACTTTGAAAATAGTGGGGAAGTTCTTTTTTAACTGAAAATGGATCTGCCTCACAGCCCAGCAATTGCAGAGAATAGTTCCCACACAAACAGGTAAAAATACTTGCAATTATAGATAATCTTAACATTGCAGGATCTAGAAGTCTAGTGTCTAGAAGCTTTCTTTACTTTTCAACTGTTAAGTAAGCAAGTTGAGGCTGGAGAGATGACTCAGTAGTTGAGACTTGCTTTGCTGTTCTTGCAGAAGACCTAGGTTCAGTACTCAGCACCCAGTTCCCAGTTGGTACATAGTCAGGTAGCTCACAACCTCCTGTAACCCAATCCCAGGTCTCTTTTGGCCTCCAAGTTCCCATACACTCAGACACATAAATCAAAGTAAATCTTTTTTTAAAGTCTACCCTCAACAGCATATCATTAATTCACTCAGAAATAAGATCTTTTTACAGTGTAAGTTACTTTTTGTTGTTTTTAGACAGGGTCTCCTTTGAGCCCTGGCTTACCTAGAATTCAGAGATACACCTGCCTCTGTCTCCCAAGTGCCAGGATTAAAGTCATGTGCCACCATGCCTGGCCACACATCCAAGTTTTCTTTTTTTAAGATTTATTTAAAAGTTCCAGGCCAGCTCTAGTCCAGCCAGCCTGGAACTCACTATGTAGACCAAGCTGGCCTCAAACTCACAGACATCTGCCTGCCTTATTTATGTATCTGTGTGAGGGTATGTTCCCATGGAAGCCAGATGCGTCAGATCCCCCAGGAGCTGGAGCTGTAGGTAGTTGTGAGCCACCAAACATGGTTTCTGGGAATTGAACTTCGGTCCTCTGGAAGAGCCCTACACGCTCTTAACCACTGAGCCATCTCTCCAGCCTACATCTAAATTTCTTATTTTACTCATAAATAGTAAAAACACAACCAACTTGGCCTCGATTCATGAGTAGTTAGTATTTATTAGCAATTACTGTGATGGGAACTTTTCCACTTGGAGTTGTTAATTACTTCTAAACTCTGGCCATGTGTGGGCACCAGGTCTACCGATACTAGCTGTCAGATACCAACAGTGCTTCTTGGTTAGAATTGTTAGGGCACTGGAGAGACAGCTCAGTGGGTAGGAGCACTTGCTGCTCTTTCAAAGGACTGGGATTCACTGCCCAGCTCCCACATCTGATACCCCATGGGCACCTGCACACATGTGCTGGGCATATACACACACTCAGGTACATATGTACACATAAAATATATTCCCCCCTTGGTATTTTGAGCCCTGGCTGGCCTAGAACTCACTCTGTAGACCAGGCTCGTCCTCATCCTCACGCCTTTACCCTCCAGCAGGCTCACTTCAGGTAGTCTTGAATCAAGCATGCCGTGTGATCCATGCGTGCTGGTATGTGTGCACTGTGCTGCGGACCAGCTACATGACCAGTCCAGCATTTCACGTTTTTTCCCTCTGCCGTCACTCCCAGTGTGTTACATTTCTGAGAATCATCGATTTTATTGTAGGTGTAGCTTACTTGTGCTGACAGTTAATATGCCTTCTATCAATATACAAGAATCTCTCCGTCTGTTTAAGGGGTCAGACTTTTCCTTTGTTCACGCTGCTGTAGCTGTGAATGACTGTATTCGTTGTCTGTCATAGGCATAGGTCATTTTCGTGTAAGGGAAGTCTGTGGCGTTATTGTCAAACGTGTTCAGTAAAAGCTTTGTTTTTCCTTGTCTCCCTGCCCGTCCCTGTTCTTCAGTGCCTATGAGGTGATCAAATTGAAAGGTTATACTTCCTGGGCCATTGGACTGTCTGTGGCAGATCTGGCGGAGAGCATAATGAAGAATCTTAGGCGGGTGCACCCAATTTCCACCATGATTAAGGTAACGGGACTGGAGGGACTCGTTGTATTTCTGTGCTTTATTTACTGGCTCAATTCCTGATGTGAAATAAACTCACTTACACCTTTTCTGTTGGAGGCTTATGGGATTAGTTACTGTTCACTGGAACTGTCTAGCTTGCAGATACTTGACTACATGCCTCTCAAAAAGTTTTTCTGAGCTAGGTGTACGACTGTGAGGCTTTTACACCAGGAAAAATAAAAACCATGATTACATTTGTCACAGTGTTATAAAAATTGGACAGCATAATAATGAATTATGTATAATGGTAACAGTTTTAGGTGTTTTTTAATTTTGTTTTGTTTGAGACGAGGTCTCATGTGTTGCACCCACTGGCCTAGCCATGAGCTGTAGCTAAGGGTAAACTTGAACCAGCTCCCATGTGCTGGGATCACAGGTGTGTGCCACAATGCCTGGTGATTGCAATTTTAGTGACTTTCTATTAGTGCCTTTCTGTTAATTACTACATCATACCTGAACATCTAGAAAGGGATTTCTACTTGTTTTAAAAGGCTTCATAGCTGGGCGTGGTAGAAACAGGCAGGCTGATCTCTTGAGATTAAGGCCAGCCTGGTCTGCATAGTGAGTTCCAGGGACAGCTGGGGCTACAGGGAGACCTTGTCTCAAAGACCCCCGCCCCCTAAAAAAAGAAGATCCGAAACCTTGGGTGTAGACAAGGTCTCAGCTCTTGTTTGTCTCTGTGTTCAGGGTCTCTACGGAATAAAGGATGATGTCTTCCTCAGTGTGCCCTGTGTCCTGGGACAGAACGGGATCTCAGACGTGGTGAAGGTGACTCTGACCCCAGAAGAGGAGGCCCGCCTGAAGAAGAGCGCAGACACGCTCTGGGGAATCCAGAAGGAGCTGCAGTTTTAGTCTCCTGACGTCACAGCCTGCACTGTCCAGGCTGCAGCAGGCTTTCTGCTGGAGATTGTACATGTTTTCCTTTCCACCTGAGCTGTGATCAGTGCAGTTGTATGAAGAAGGTGTAGGAAAGCATGGAGTTCCTAAAGGTAGAAGCCCCACCACAGCTGTATCCTGATGCTAAATGGTACTTGTGTAGTTGTAAACTGGTTAGTGTGAAAAAGTTTTACCATCTGAGACACCACTGCCAATTTGTACAGGATCCACTTCCCTGTAAACCGGATGTCTTACTGTGTGCTATCTGACTTCACCAAACATGCCTAGTCAAGTTTTTTCCAATTAGTCACATCCTGGGATGCAGTGTATAAATCCATTACAGCATGTCTTATGCAGAATTGTCCTAAAGGATCTTATTTTGTGTATTATTTAATGTATCAATGTACACAGCAATAGAATGTAAAAAGTAAAATCTGCATATGGGTAATGCAATCAGCTACCAAGTGTCCTGCCAACTGAAACACCAAATAAACCTTGAACAGTGGCTGCTCTGTTAATTTATTAAGATGGGTTTGGCTTCAAAAACCTTTAATCCTAGCACTCAAATAGGGAGAGGCAGGCAGAGCTCTTGAGTTGGGGGCCAGCCTGGGTCTACTGTTACATAATGAGACCGTGTCTCAAAACAAAGAAATCCCAAAGTTAGGCTAGGGAGGTGGTTCAGTTGGTACATGGCTCACTTGGTACGGTGAGCTTGTACCATAGTGTGAGGGCCTGAATGTAATCCCTAGCATGTTGGACAAGAGTGCAAACTTGTCATCCCTGCCCTGGAGAGGTGCACAGGGCTGGGTCCATGGAGCTCACTGGCAAGTCAGAGTTGTGAACTGGGCTCATTGAGGAACACGGCTCAATAAAAGGTGGGGGCGGGACAAATGAAGGTACCCCAAAGTCCATCTTGGTCTACACGCATGTGATGTACACACATACACAAAAGTCACAAAACTTTTTTTTTTTTTTTCAGAGCTGAGGACCGAACCCAGGGCCTTGTGCTTGTTATGCAAGCGCTCTACCACTGAGCTAAATCCCCAACCTCTGCTGTTTTTTTTTTGAAACAGTCACGGATACCTGCCTGTCCCTGCATCTGACTCCTGAGTGCTGGGATTAAAGCACTTAGCTAGCTGCCCCCTACCCTTTTTTTTTAACTTGGAAATTCTAAGCTGTTTGGACAACTCTTGTTTTTTTTCAGGGTACTAGTTGAGCTGCTGTTTAATATGAATTTATGTTAGTGGTGTTGCTAGATTGTTACTAGTGCCTTTCCATTATAAATGATTTTTCTGTTGCTTTTTTTTTTTTTTTTGGTCTTTTTGAGACAGGGTCCCCCTGTAGCCCCAGCTGACCTGGAACTGTGTAGACCAGGCTGGCCTCAAACTCACAGAGATCCACCTGCCTCTGCCTCCCAAGTGCTGGGATTAAAGGCATGCACCACCACGCCCGGCTATAAATGATTTTAATAACTTAAGCCAAGGAGTTAAGAGATGACTAGTTGGCCAGGAATGATCGTATACATTTTTAATCCTAACATCCAGTGAGTTCAAGTACAGTCTGTTCTACACAGCAAGTTCCAGACCAGCCAGGGCTACTGCATAGTGAGAACCTGTCCCAAGAACTAATATTTTGGGGCTAGAGAGATGGATGGCTCAGTGGTTAAGAGCGCTGGCTGCAAAGGACCTAGGTTCAGTGCCCAGCACTCACATGGCAGCTAACAACCATCTGTAACTGCACTTCCAGGGGATCCAATGTCCAGTGTCTGACCTCCGCAGGCATTGCATAGCACAGGTTGGCATCTATAATGATAAATGTAAATGTAAAAAATTCAAAACTTTCCAATTGCCCATAAGCAGTGGTACTGGGTCACTAAAGAATGCATTTTTGGGATTCTTTGCCCCCTGGAAGCCAGTAACATGATGCTAGTTCTAAACCTGGGTGGGAATAGTGGCTTAGTGTAGGTGAAGGTACTTTCTGCCAAGATGGATGAACTGAGTTCAATCCCTGGAACCCACTTGGTAGAAAGAGAGAAGCAACTCCCCAAAGTTGGCCAGACACATACACAAAGGAAAGAAATGTAATAAAAAATTCTAAACCAAGTACCCCTGGTTTCTTCTGCTTTAGTTTTCTCCCAAGATATTTTGTAACCAACTCTTACCTAGGCCTGAAAGTTCCACTTAGGTTCAGTGTGATAACTTGCCATTGATGGAATCAAACTAAAGCCCCCCAGGTTAAAGTGGATTCAAACCAAATCCCCCAGACCAAAGAAAAATATTCTGGGAAACTGTACAAGGAAGGAAGAGGTAAAATTCTAACTGCTGAGAAAGAGCTGACCTTTTCATGCTCCGTACACAAGCCAGACATCACCTGAAACTTTCCCCCTCCCACTGCTGCCGGTTGCTGCCGGCCCCCTCCCACTGCTGCCGGTTGCTGCTGGCCCCCTCCCACTGCTGCCGGTTGTGGTTTGTGGTTTTTGCCTTTAAAAGTTGCCTGTAAGCTGAGAGGCAGGGGACCGTCTGCACCAATGATTAAATCCTCTTGGTTGTTGCGTCTCCTGGTTTGAGGACTGAGTTATTGGGGTGCGGCCTCCCATGGACGTTGGGTGCCCCAGCCTGGGGGGGGGTCCTACATTTGGGGGCTCATCTGGGATTCGGTTGCCCCAGACCTATTTCCTCAGATCAGCAGGAGGTAAGGACGTCTTGTAGTTTGTCTTGGTCTGTCTTAATGTCTGTCAGTCATTTCCTGTTTTGGGAACGTTCCGTCTGAACAATTGTGCCTGTACAGGACCTGTAAGTCTGTATTCTGGGAACCAGCGGGAAGTCTGTATTCTGGGAACCAGCAGGAGTGACAGACGTGCCCAGAGGCCCCTGGTTCCGACACTCTGGCCTTAGTGACCAGAGTGATCTGGAGTGGGGAGGACAGCGTAGCTTTCCTCACCCCAGGAGAAGGGAGATTGGCCTGGCTACTCCCCTCCCAATCTGTACTTTCAGTTTTGAGTCAAGAAACCGCAGCGAGGATTTTTGTTTTGTGTTTGTCTGTGTTTGTACTTGGGGATCCTGAAAGTGAAAATGGTGAGTGCAGTGTGTGTCTGAGTGTAAGAAGGACCGGTCCACATGAATGTGATTTAATGCGGTGTATGTATGTGCTTGATGGTGTGTTAATATCTTAAAAGGGGAAGGTCTGGTTTTGTATTTTTCTCTACACTCTCTATTTTAAACCTTCCCTTCCTCCTTCTCTTTCCTTTTATTCTTGGTCTAAGTCTTTGCGAGGGACCATTAAAGGCGAAAGAACAATTGAGGTTTTCTGGTTAGGGCCACTCCCTGATGTAAGCCAAAGGCTCTTAGCCCTCTTAGTGGACCCCGTTCCTCTCTCTCTCTCTCTGGCCACTGAAACAGCCCCGAGGGCACGGGTCAAGCAAATAAGAGCCATAGGGCGCTCGCCGCTAAAAGACTCCCGTGGAAGGATAAGGGGGTCCCAGACGTGAATCCCAGATAAATTCATGTCCCCCACAGAAGAAAAACTGGGCAACTATAGGTACTTGTCCTTAAGCACATTCACAGGTCACTATTGTTTTCTTACTCTCCCCCTCTCCTGTGACCTCCACTATGGGTCAATCGCTAACTACCCCTTTAAGCTTAACTCTGGAACACTGGAAGGAGGTCGTGAAACGGGCCCACAACGTATCATTGGAGGTCCATAAGAAGAAGTGGCAGAGTCTCTGTTCCTCTGCATGGCCCTCTTTTGAAAAAAGATGGCCAAGGGATGGGACTTTTGACCTTGCTACTATCTTGCAGGTTAAGGAATACATTTTCCACCCAGGACCACATGGACATCCGGACCAGGTGGCCTACATAGTCACCTGGGAAGACTTGGCCCGGAACCCCACATCTTGGGCACAGCCGTTCCTACCTCCTAGGGGAACTGAAGAGACTGACCAGGGGCCTCCTGTCCCTTCTGCTCCCCTGAGTCTTACTTCTTCCCTCCTGCCCCTTCAGTCTGCCTCTGAGAAGAAGTAAAAGCCAGTCCTCCCCGAGGACCAAGCTTCCCTAACCCTCCTTGATAAACCTGACAAATCCACTCCTCTAACAGACTCTGCTTAAGGAGGGATGGGGGGGCCCTCTGATGGAAACTGGACTGCCCAGGTTTTTCCCCTCTGAACTATAGGGGATCAGATCCAGTACTGGCCTTTTTCAGCCTCTGAGTTGTATAATTAAAAGACTCATAACCCCTCTTTTTCTCAGGATTCTCAGGCTCTAACTGCTTTAATAGAGTCTATTCTCACCCACCAACCCACTTGGGAGGAGTGTCAGCAACTCCTCCAGGCACTTCTAACCACAGAAGAAAGACAGCGAGTCATCCTGGAGGCCCGGAAAAATGTCCCCGGGCAGGATGGGAGACCCACTCTGCTCCCAAATGAAATAGACGAAGGAATTCCTCTGACCAGACCCAACTGGAACCACGAGACCCTGGCTGGTAGGGAGCATCTCCGTCTTTATCGCCAGACTCTTTTAGCGGGTCTCAAAGGGGCCGGAAGGTGCCCGACCAACTTGGCAAAGGTACAGGCTATAACCCAGGCTATAACCCAAGGAAAAAATGAAACCCCCACAGGGTTTCTAGAACGCTTGATAGAGGGATATTGGATGTACACCCCTTTTGACCCCACAGCCCAGGAGCGTCAGGCAGATCTTATTATGGCCTTTATAGGACAATCAGCTCCTGACATTCGTGGTAAGCTCCAATGGCTGGAGGGCCTTCAGGGGTACCCCTTACAGGATTTAATAAGACAAGCTGAAAAAAATCTATAATAAGCAAAAAACTTTAAAAGAAAGAGAGGATAGAATCAGAAAAGAGCAGGAAAAAATTAAGTTAAATTTTGGCCACAGTAGTTCAGGGAATAGGACCAGGACCAGGTAGGAACCTGGGAGACAAGAGAAGGCCCCGAGTGGATAAAGACCAGTGTGCCTATTGCAAGGAGAGAGGACATTGGGCTGGAGAATGTCCGAAGAAGCTGAACAGACTTCAAAAGAAAACAACCCCAGTCCTGACTAGGGAAGTCGAGGCCAGGAGCTCCCCTCTGAGCCCAGGGTAACCTTGAAGATAGGGGGGCAATTGACTACCTTCATGGTAGACACAGGAGCTCAGCACTCGGTCCTGACAGCAACTAAGGGACCTATGAGTTCCAAAACAGCCTGGGTTCAAGGGGCCACCAGAGGAAAAAAACATACAGATGGACCACAGAAAGAAAAGTGGACCTCAGCACAGGACGAGTCTCCCACTCGTTCTTATTGGTCCCCGACTGTCCATACCCTCTTCTTGGGAGAGATTTACTCTCTAAGCTGAGAGCCTACATCCACTTCACTAGAAAGGGAGCTACTGTAAAAGGAAAAGATGGAGCTCCACTACAGGTATTAACCTTGCGGCTGGAAGATAAACATCGGTTATATGAGGGACCAATAGCAGGAACTCTTGGTATATCTGATTGACTAAATAAAATCCCCTCAG